CCCCAAAACCCCAAAACCCCAAAACCCCACCTTCCATTTATAGTAATTATTTTGATATAGAGATTATAAATATAAAATGCATACACAGTTTCAAAATGAAATGGACTACTTTTTATATTACTTGTGGAAGAAGCCATAAATTAGCTCTCTGGAAAATTCCATTAAATTCAATTTTATACTACCAGATACGATATTTTTAAGGTGTTTAGCTTAAAAGTTTTAATTCAATAATTATAGTTAAAACAAGCCGGTGAAGTGGTATTTCTCTAATAGTGATGGTTAGATTTTAAAAAAGAAAACGGTGTCTCTTACCCAGGAATTTATCATTGAAAATTTTATTAAGAACAAGGAACAAGAATCTCCAGTCGCTGTGGCATTTAGATATATAGAAATCAATGACACGAGAAATTATACTGCAGCAAGTGAAAATAATGGAAAAAGGCCAATACTTGAAAGAGACATAATAGCGTATTAGAAATTTAGTAATTCACATTATAATTAGGAGAATATCTAATTATTTTTTAGGATCTTTGTTTTCTTTTTAAAAGAAAAATGAAGTAAATATCTTGCAAAAATTTGTTCAATGTAAAGGCTAAAATTTTAGCTTAATAAGATGCTTTTGGTCTGCAAACTCATTCAGAGTTGAAAAAGTTTAGAATATCAACTAAAAAATGAATAAATACATGTCAATATATCAAAGATATCTGACCATTGAAGAGAGACATAGATTCTTTTCAGTTGAACCAATAGTTTCTACAATAATATAGTAAGATATTCTGGTTGCTTGTAATTTGATTCATGCTCAATTTCAGTTACATCAAATCCCACTTCATCAAGCCACTTACTATTTCATTTTGGACTCTAACGATTAGCTCTGTTTTTTATTTCCAACACATATTAGGCTGATCAATTCAATGAACTTACTATTCTAAGATACTATGATTGCATTTCCCTTAGAGTATATGAATCTAATGCATACATTCAATAGAAGGTCTACTTTGAATGTCACACATGATGAGATCTAAAAATACTTAAAGCATTTGGCAATTGATCAATTGCAAAAGGATGCCTTGGATCAATCTAATCCATATATATAGAAAAGAACTTGCCCATTCTGCCAATCAGAATTAAATAAAAAAGAAGATTTTGATAGAAGAAGCTTGTCTGAGCTAAACTTTAGTCCCACAAGAATTATAGATCTAAACAAAGACATGATTATGATATAGAAGTAAAATTAGCAAAGGATGGGATATTCAGAATTTACACTGAAAAGTCTTCTTAAAATGAAAGATTAGTAAAGCTTCATTCAATATGAATGCAAATTAAATAAGCTTCAAAGAGCAGCTCTTGCAAGAACTTCTTCCAAAATTCCAGATTTGATTAGAATTATTTTTCCTCAAATGACAGAGAATCAATATGGCTTGAAAGAATTTGATTTGTAATGGTAATACAAGAGCGTTCAAACTTGCACTGAATGCTTTATGAAGATAAATTAAATGTAACCTGAATATTATATTAATATATTTCTTAGTTTGGATAAGCAAGACATTGAGGAGTATATGAAGAATGAGGTATTATAAAACCCTAATTTAAAGAAAATTGGGGTAGATTTCTTTGAGGATGAAGTAAGAAAGATTCAATAATCTAGACTAAGTGTGAGGAGAGCAAGCAGATCTGGAATTCACTCTAGACATAACGCGAATAACAGCATAAATCATTAGGACTTAAGCTTTGACTTTGAAGCTAGAAGAATATAGAGTAAGAGCTATATATTTTCTAAGAGAAGAAATGATTCTACTCAAATCTAAAGTTCTTTCTAGAATTATGTTGATGAAGGGGATTACAAATGAGGGAATATCTCTACAATGAACTAGTCAATTAACATTGAAAACAAGTCAATGCTAGATGAGATAACTACAATAAAAGAGCGAGGACAGTCAGTTATATCCGGAGGTGTTTTTGTGACATCACTTGCAAACACTCAAAAGAAAAAAAAGATTAATATGAGAAAACTTGCTATGCAAAAGCTCGATTGTGAATAAGATATGATCAATGTTGTCAATAATTTTAGGGAAAATTTCCAATTAGAAAAAATAAAAAATTCAACTCAATATCAGTAAACATTTCTCAATGAACTGAGATTAAAAGCTCAATCTTAATAGTCTGGGCTCTTAACCGAGAGGACTGTATTTCCGAAAACTTTACTTCAGGAGTTGCCTGAATTTTAAAAATAATACTATTTCCAAGAAAATTCATTGCTACCTATGATTATTTAAACTGAGAGGAGTGTTGAGAATCCATTTATGAGAAGAATAAATTTAATGGAGAGTATCAATGCTATTTAAAAACTAAATCCAACTCATTAAAGACTAAAATCTGATTCTGATTTGAGTTAAAATTTAAATAATCCTCTCTAAAGAAAAATAAGAACATAAGCTGTGAAAAGATTACTGGATATTTCTAAACAGCAAGAAAAAAATTAAAGCATATATGATGAGAATAACGAAAACTCTAAGAATTTTTAAAACATCAGCTCTTAAAATAGTAGATAAATCACTCTTAACAGGACTCCAATTACCAACATTGATAAGGGCTGGCTAGAAAGTAATATGGAAGATCTATAATCAGCCAGAGACTATACCTATTTTGAAATGACCTAAAATAAAAAGAGTAATTTGGTAAAAACTGACCAAGAATAGAAGGCAGAAAATATTATAAAGGATGGATTCAAGGCTAAAACAATAGAACAATACAGAAAGAGTGTAAGTCATATATAGATCGCAAAATAAGCTAAATCAATTTTGGATGAAATGAAAGTAAAGAAGTATTACAGAGAACAACAGCAAAGACTTAGATAATGTGAAGGAATTAGCAAACGAATGGGTCAAGTTCTTGCAGCTGATGAAATTAAGGACATTGTGTAAGGAGGTGAGCATGTGCTTTAAAGTGATTTCAAAGAGGATAAGATAAAAGAAAAGTTGAATAAGACCCAGCTTATGCTAAATTCAATCAACAAAAACTTAGACAATGTAGTTGATCTTATGAAGAAAAAAGACATAAACTCTATTGCCACCCTAGATAAAATAAAAAAATGATGTATGAAAGTAATAAAATATGCTTAATTTCATGATTTAAAATTGCTATGATATAATTAAGTTATGGGGTTTTGGGGTTTTGGGGGTTTGGGGAGATCGGAAGAGCACACGTCTGAA